ATTACCTATGGACTTATATAAATTATGTATGAACGCCATACGAATCGGCTGAGCATCCACTGGATTTATCCACTGAATTTCTTATAGGATGTATATTCATATGTCAGACCGTACCGGAGAATCGTGAAACAAATAATTTACCAAAACGCCATAGCTAAATGGGATATCGATGATAATTTCAGGCGGGAAATTTAAATACGATTATCGTAAATTTCAAACTGGATAAAACCAAGAAAGACTAAAAAATTGCTTTGCTGAACCTTGAGCTTTTTTTTTCAAATTCCTCGATCTTAAATCATTATTCAACGTGCCCAAGCGTCCTTAAAATTAATATCCAACGCCACGTGGTTATCGCATTGGTTATCTTACGTCATACAGTAACAAACGATTTTACGCTCCTTTACAAAGTAACTCGAGCAAACACACTTGCACGTTAAAGGAATCTGAAATTTTCGGTAAAATTTATTTTTATGTTACTAGAAATTTAAGTACGCATCCACGTTTTAGGGGAAAAAAATATGCATACATATTTTATATTATTCACATATCTAGAGCCACTGGAGCCCATGAGAGTAATCTTAAACTTTAATGGTACTTATTTCCAAACTATTCACAGCGTGTAAGCTTCATCTGAAATAACATTCATTTTTTTTTCTAATCCATTTTTTTCACTGTCTATATTTTATATGGCGGATCCTGCAGTACATTATCGATACGAACGACGTTCTCAGGCTGGGATCGAGCCTTGATTCTAGACTCGTTCGGTTGGTAGAAGAAGAAGATATTTTATTTGTCTTACGTTTTAGCTATGAAATAATAATGGGTCTGTTGTATAAAATGAAAACAAAAAACAAGGGATAGACGTAAATAACAAAGGGACGGGATGGGTTTCCACGTATTACGAGAGAAAAGCTCGTATCGGTTGAAGTCCTTACGTCGAGGTAGAAAAATATATAAATTTCAAGAAATTCCACGGCAAGGTATCGTCGAGGTATCGTCGATTCTTCGAAAATCGTAAAGAATGCAATGTTAGTCTTAAGGGATGTTTTTGCATTTTTACGATTTTCTTGTGCTCCTCTCTTGAAATTTTCCAAACGCCCTTCAGTAGTTATCTAGTGATGGTACGTAAGTCAGGAAAACGTATACAGGGGTGATTTTAATTGATAATTATATTAGACCCCGAGTGTATTGGTTAAGGGTGGTTTTTTTATTTTTCAAGTATGTACGAGACCCCTGAAAAATTAATTGGCAAATTTCGAGATAATTTCACGTAATCATAATTTTACAATGTCAAAAAATATTTATTCGTCGCGATTATTTTTTTTCGTTATTTCCAAAATTTTATGACAAAAAAAATACACGATGTACCATTCGACAATTATTGAATTAGAATCGAAAAAGAAAATTTTTCGAGAATAATGATTAATGAGAAAATATATGGCAAAGGGAAAGAATGCTTCAGATATTGGAATAGCGTCTAGTACGTGATTAAGGAATATGCTTGTAATTAGTAACTTTCGTCTGATTGGACATTGAAAAAAAAAAGGTAGAATCCAGAAATCGTTTTTCACAATGTATTATGATAACTTTCTAAACTTATCGAAATCCCCGTGTAACTTATGAATATTTAAACTCGTTAATCCAAATTCGATTTACAATCTCTCTCTCTCTCTCTCTCTGAATTTTTCTCACGTTATAATACGTCTGCCTTAATCACCCAATTCTCAATAGGCTAATTACAAGAAACTTCGTAAGAATTTCGGAATGCCTAAGCTTCGGCAAAGAATCGCACGGAAGTCCCGAGATTCCCGTTAATCCTTCGAAATAAATATTTGTCATAAATAGATATTGCCAAGATTCCACGATTCCCGAAAAAAAAAAAAACGATGTAGGCTTACTCAACGAAAATACATTTCATTAAGTTCCCGTAGTCGCTTGTGCTTCTAAAATATTTGTACGGTCAAGAGAGACGAAGAAAGAGACAAAGGTTGGGTAGTCGACGTAGGAGGACAACGTAGTCGAATAAAAGGGCGTCTAAGAATAAAGAAACTTTGAAGGATCAATCCCTACGAGATCGGGAAGGTAGGGTACAGGAGGTCCCTGTGTGTACCTACAAGGGAAGCTTCCATGGGGCGCGTATAGCAAAAGAAAAGAAAAAAAAAAGGAAAGCAAACTTGCCGCTGGAACTTTTTTTCTAAATGTTTATCGTAGGTTGTACAGCAGGTAGTTTGGTGTAACGGAACTTCCTGCAGAGGGCAGTTAAGTCCTGAAACCGATGGGTTTCACCCTGGAAAACCGACCCTGGATAGAATGGTTTCCTCGAGTTCATAGGAATTAAATAGAACTTTCTGTGGATCGCGGAGGTCAGAGGTGAAAATACAATAAAGTGACAAGTCGAATAATTAATTTCAGTAAGAAATTTTCAGCAGTCGTGAAATTAATTTGAAAATTCACTTTGGCCCGCCAAAGCGTTTTCCCGCGATTTCTTCGCTCCTTTACGTTGATACGTTTATAAATATGTATATATAAATGAGAACTAACCTCACGTTGCCTTTCGTTAACCGAGCACCGCGAAAGTTCGTTACTACGAATTCCGTGGGAAAATTGCAATTATCCTTTTAATGAGATTTCTTGAAGCCATCGGTCGGCCGAATAAGATTCTCGCACGAAATGTCGCGAAACGAGTAAACGAAGATTCCGTGAAAATTAATGAAAATCATATAATCGCTCCGTAACGCTATGGTATTTAGAGGCACTGTACGATTAACATAGAAATATTCTTGACTACCAGACGCTGGCATTTCTTCACGGAGAAAGTTTCAGGGAGAATGCGAAATAATCACGACCCGGAGGTCATGGTATTAAGTCTCATTTGCATGAAAACTACCTCGGGAGTTTTAGATCTGCATCAACTTAAAAAAAAAAAAAAAAAAAAATGAAAATTTACAATAACCCATCCTTCTTCATATTCAAATAGCGTCTCGAAATCTTTTACTCGGCCGTTTTCCTTGGCAATTTTCAAATTGATTGTCCACGTAGATATACCTGGCGGATAAATATTATCTTGCTTTAATTATCATTCATTTAAATTCATACCTGCATACAGTATTTTTCCTAACGATAATAACCCGTATAAAAGTTATTTCCAAAAAGTTAAAAATTCATTTAATCCAGCTTAAAATATTCCCAGCATACCTTGCAGCTGCTATCCATATACTCCGGTGCATCGAATATGTCAGAAGAAGGTGTCAGGCATACATATATATTATTACGATTAGTCTTCATACGTCGATAAAGCCTTAAATTTCTTGACATACGCGTGAATACGCCTTTAATGTTATTAATTGCACCTGTGATTCGACGAAAATGGACGCTGATGAATCTAAAAAAAAAATTCTTATTAAGACTGGCATATATTTTTTTTTTCAAAACTGCTACGCTACATACAAATTCAAATCCGTAGATCAGTAGCACAAAAGGATAGAGATCCATCGTGAAGCTTGTACAGGGTGTTCCGAAACTACCTGACCCGGTGGGTATGGCGGTGTTCGGGAGGCTTCACCGATCACGAAAATGACCTTCCTTTTATCCGGAAGGTCATAGTTTTTAAATGGGAACAGGTCAAAGTTGACCAATCAGAGGGAGGCGTCAAGAGAAACGTAGGCACCTGCGAACTCTGAGTTTTCTTCCCTCGCTTTTGTTTCTCGGTAGCTTGTTTCTTGTTTCCCATAGGCATGTCTTCGGCTGACGTCATCCTGCCCGAAGCCACCGAGAAACAAAAGCGAGGGAAGAAAACTCAGAGTTCGCAGGTGCCTACGTTTCTCTTGACGCCTCCCTCTGATTGGTCAACTTTGACCTGTTCCCATTTAAAAACTATGACCTTCCGGATAAAAGGAAGGTCATTTTCGTGATCGGTGAAGCCTCCCGAACACCGCCATACCCACCGGGTCAGGTAGTTTCGGAAGAGCTTCCGAACAAAAGGAAGGTCATTTTCGTGGTCAGTGAAGCCTCTCGAACACCGCCATACCCACCGGATCAGGTAGTTTCGGAACACCCTGTATATGGGAGGATCCTGTGTCAAAGGACAAATTTGGTCTGACATCTATATCCAGTGATAACCCAAGCATATAGCCTGTAGAGATAAGAGCATTGCCATTGCCATTGCCAAAGAGGAAACGGAGACTGGACTATTCAGAAATTCCTAGTTAATCCAATGGGATGCACTGCTTTGAAATTTGACAAAGAGTTTGTCGATAGGATAGGTTAGGTATATATATATCGAAAAGGAAAAGGTTGTTAGTCAAGATTCCGTGAGGGATGATACGCTTTTGGATGGATACGCTTAGTGTCTATATATATAAGATATACTGTAGTGTTTGTGTGTGTGTGTGTGTGTGTATATATATATATAGCAAGGCTGGTGCGCCCTTAGAATATGTAGGCGGAGAATCACTATTCGTAGCAGATAGATTAGTCAGTGGTGGCAGCACTGGAGTGTTTGTTCAGGAAATTGAATTATCCGTTCACCACTGCGACCTGCTTGACTGCCGGTTTCACAAGCTGTCAACTACCCAGCCACTCTAGCCAACCCTTAAGCAGCCCATCCGATCGTATCCCATAGATACTTTTGGTCCTGGATCCAGGTTCGTATTAGAATTCGCTAACGTGGTAATCGGAGTATTTGATAAGATTTTTCAAATTTGACCCTTCGGAAGGGACCGGGTTTTCGGTGCTTTTCTTGCGATTTCCGTGACTCTTTTTCGGGATTGGAAGGCAGCCATAAAAATGAGATCACTGAAAGGAAAACAGAGGTGACGTTAGACTGTAGGAAAAATTTTCAAAATTTTTCTATTCATCGGCACAGACTGAATTGGTGGTGATTTTCTTTCGTGTTTAATTACAAGGGTGTCTGTTTGTTTTGGCCCGGATGAGTTTGATAACTTAATAATTAATGTGGTAATTAATGAAGAGCGATGAAAATACTTTATTAAAAAGGGACGAGTCGATCACGACTTTTTTTTGGATTAATTGTTAATTTATTTCGTACAGCGAAATTCGATTATGGAACCATTCAGCTGGGGGGTAATGTCTATCTGAATGCAACCCCTAACTTTGAATCCGGCGAGGAACCCATTACGCGCCATAAACTTCCTGCAATTTGCTCTCATAAACCAGATTAGAATGTTCATCCCCTTCTATCTTTTTCCTTTTTGATGCTTTGCCAGTTTTCCAAGAAGCGTGGTAAAAATAGTCTTCCTTACTTGGCGTCCTTTCTGGTTTTCCCAATCCCAAGTAACAGCTGACAGATATTGAATTCATGATTTGACGTGATCCTTTCACATTTTATGTCCTTTATTAGCTCTGCTCAGCCTATCCGTCTTTCTCGTTTCACTCTTCATCTAGTTTTTTCCTTGAAAGAATCCTCTCGCGATACATAGTTCCATAACGAGGATCCCTAACTCCAATGTGGATAGTTGAACGAAAAAGTATATACGGGGTGTCCAGAAATTAACGCATATGATTATCATCCCGATATTCCTCATACAAAACTAAGTCAAAAAGTCCTTAATTATTTTTTTGTGTTGTGTCTTATTAACAAGTTATTAAGAATTATAATTAGCCAATCAGAAATGAGATTATGCTTAGTACACATTAACGAATAGTTTGAGCGAATTCACAATACGCGGCGTTAACTTTGGTATGTGACGAATGAGTAATATGAAAATTTAAAGCACACCACAATTACTTTTTAATAGAGCATCATGCGCAAAAATGGTACAGGACATTTAGACTCAGTTTTTGACCAGGTGTAGCGCTATACTAACCATAGGCGGCACTTTCTGGACACCCTGTATAGCTAAATTCGAAGGCATCTTAGGTCGTGTAAATCCTTCGGTTTCTATAGATAGAAACTCGACAGAACTCACAGAAATAAATCAGATAATATATTTTCATTATACTATATTATAAGAATCAGAAAAAATATCCATTAATTTCTACCACAGGATGCTAGATCTGAATTATCGCGTATAAGCAACTTTTTGGAAATACTCGTATTTTTACTTATCGATATTTCTCGGATCCTTATACCTATAGGCACGCGATACCTGTTTATATTTTTTTTTTTAAAACAAGTAAAATTCTCTGTAATCATATTTTCCAATTTTTCATATTACATTTTTGTTTGCTTATCCAGTTACAGATAGTATCGCTATCCCATATAAATCAAAGATTTTCATTCAAAGCCATTTAAAGTTACATTCGTATCATAAACAATTTTATTTCCTTTTGATCAGATTGAAAACTCGTCCATTGATTTTGTAAAACTTCCCTAGAAAATGATTACGGCATGTGACGTAATAGTAATAAACCAATACGTATCATAACCAATCTATCGATCGTTTATCATGCTAAATATAATTATTAGTATCAGTGATATTACTTGCCATATTGAGATTCCCATGGTGCTCGGTACGTGTCAATTTCCTTGTGGAAGATCAATGGTACAATTTCATATATTTTAGTGGCACGTCATCAATGTTAAAACCTAGATTTGAATTAAGTAGTCAGAATCCTTCGAGAAAGATCCGTACGTCGTACGGTCAATATGTCTTGGTAATTAGTTTGATCAGCTAACAAATTGTCCCTGTCGCCCGATACTTTTAATGAAGATAAACAACAAAGAATTGTATTATTCCGTAAGCTACAGTATATCCTACAGAGTAATACCAGATGAATTTGAGACATGCAATTACCTGCGAGGATGAAACATGTGCATATAAAGTTGATCCATGACGTCGATATATTTATTTGACAGATCGAAAACAATACAGCCGTTACGAAGGATACATACGTTTGGTATTACACAATTTACATATTATTTTTCTACTTTAGCATATATTTCCTTATTTTATGGTAAAACACGTGTCATTTTCCAAGTACTGCATTGCTTGCAAACTGTCGTAAAAGCACCACTAAACGTATGGAACAATTTTATAAGACCAACCTGGCGGTCTGTTGACAAGAAGGTCGAGCTAATGTTTCACTATGACAAAGTTGGGCATCGCTACGCAAGATGTCGCCACGGTAGATTCCGAATGACTGCTATGGTAAATCGAAGCCAAATACGATGGAAACGAAGTGCGAGGTTAAAACGACGGTCGGGATAGATTTATTTAAAAGTAAATTTCAACGACTCTCAAATGTTTATATCGTGAGTTTAATTGATACTCTTCAACTGCCCGAATTATTTATACCGTGGAAGCTCCAGGAAATTGATGATCCACGAAACGCAAGTAAGTTCAAGGGAACGGCTATAAACGGGATAGTATGCATAGACGAGACTACTACGGTAGAGCGAGTATCTAGTTAACGACAATTAATCTTGATTAGCATTGATCGATAACTGGGGCATCAATCGAGCACCCTCACACAGAACAACCCCCTTTCCCTATCAGCATATCAAGCTACCAGTGAAATACCTAAAGAGAAGCTTAGCTCTCTTCCTCGGCTCTTTTCTCCGTCTCTTTCTCTCACAGGGACCGAGGAACAATGAACCATTGATTGCAAAGAATGGGAGCAAGCAAGAGAGGAAATATATAGATCGAAAGCAAACCCTTAAGAATACCGAAGTGGTTAAGTACCTAGATAGACAGATGGCCTGCTGCTACTATTTCAAGCTTGAAATACGATGTTACTTTCAATGGATGAAAAATTTCAAATCCAATTCCTGACGCAGATTAACCAACGACAGGAAACGTGTATTCTCAAATAAATCTCGTGCCTTGGTTAGCCTGCTTGATAACTAATAGATGCCAGCGATCAAAGTCAAGATTTTTCCTACACGTCACTTGACGTATACGTCGTACGACGTAACGTTCCATCAACGTCCTACGTTTTTGGTTGACAAAAACGTGTGTGGTAACGATTACTTGGCAGTGGACTGGAGCAGTATGAAATTTCAATTAATGCGACTTCGAGGCACTGTATTCCCAGTGATCGATGAGCTCGAATTGATCTAGTAAAATATTGATCTAGTAAAATAAATGATATCACTTTTTTTTTCTTCAATTCAATTTAAATGCATCAGGGAGATCCCATGAGGATATAGATCCCGGAGAGGAAGTCACCGAGTGACACGGAGTTACCTATTGTATCAACTGGATCGATGCTGAATAAAATTCTGGAAAAATTAAAATAGAAAAAATAATCTGCGAGTGTACTAGACACGTGTAAAATCAAAAATTGAAATTTTGACATATTTTTACGAATTTTAATTTATTTTTTCAACGCGGGATTGCTGGTACAGTCTCTTGGGCACATTTATATTGATTACAGAAAAGACAAAAAAAATATTCAGAATTTTTCGAAACTTCAATCACGTATAGTAATGCTACGACAAGAATAAAAATCACTGTTAAGGAATGAAGTTAAATTTCGAAATGATATTCAGTCTTGATTTTAGGATTTCACTTTTCTCTCTCTCTCTCTCCCACTTTGTTTCCACCCGTTGAATCTCTCTCTCATACTCATCGCTGCAATCCCAATGAAATTCCTGGATGTCTCTCTTCCCCACGAACAAGGATTTCCTATTACATTTATCAGAGCAATATTAAATTTCACTTCACCCCCACATTTCCCCATGAAATTTTAATTGAACAACCCCTTCTCGCTCCCTTCGCCATTTAATTCCAAAAATTCGAAATCGAGACAAAAGTGTCTCCCAACAAGGCGCATTAACACTTTTCCGCCTGTCCTCATTGTCTACCAGAATTTCGAACATCCATTTCGTCTCCGGTAGCACAAATCAGGCCTCAAACGTATCACCCAGAGACAAGAAGGAGATTTATACACACGCGGGAGACTTTGATATCAGATCCCGAGGAGATCGATCCCCGGGAATCTCTCTGTCGTAATTCAAAGCTTGAAATTGTATTATAAGACGTGGCCAGACAATTGGCGAATCCAAACAAATCGAAATATTCCACACGTAAGACCCGCGCGCATGAAAATCGTCGACTAAAATATTCAAACTTCCCGCCTTTAAATTATTACCCGTCCGTATGTTAATTTCTGTAAATCATTGCACAACCCTCGTTCCAGCATTTGCCCAGCAAGAAAAAGAATATTATTCCACCTCATTTCTCAAGCACATTGACATGCACGACTCTATCCTCCATAATACAAGAATTCAGTGTATCCAACGTGAGAGCATTGCATCCTCGAATAAACAAGACAAAGTGTGAACAGGAAGATCCCTTAACACGGACTAACACATGCAATGTCACGGCTCCTAATCCAGGACTAAGCCTCTACCACAGTAATCCTGTATTTAAATCCTGCATCGCACCGGCAAACAAATATCCTTTGGTTGTTTTGGCGCGGTGCTGCCAACCTAACCTAACCCAACCCAACGGGGACGCGTCAACGAGCTCATTTGCGTCTCTTGCATGGTCGTTACCCTACCGCTGGACAATGTTAATTAGAAGGGCGGCCTCGATTGAAAATAACGGGATCGATTTTATTAGGGTGCGGCCATCTTGACTTTCAAAGAGAAAGAAAAGTGAGAGAAGCTAAGTAACGTAAAAAGACTTTCGTTAGTCACGTGACCTCGGAGCGAAAGGGAACGACCTGAAGTTCCATCCCACGAATGTCCTGATACAGATGGCGACAATGATGACGTGGAGGAGCAAGTCGTTCTGGAAAACAACGAGGCGAGTGGCTGTTATTAGGGTGCGGCCATCTTGATTTTCAAAGAGAAAGAGAAAGGAGGCTAAATAACGTAAAAAGACTTTGGTTAGTCACGTGACCTTGGCGCGCGAAAGGGAACGACCTGAAGTTGCATCCCACGAATGTCCTGATACAGATGGCGACGGGGATGTCGTGGAGGAGAAAGTCGCTCTGGAAAATAACGAGGCGAGTGGCTGCCGTAAATTATTCCTTTATGGCACTGCGACCCCTTAATGGCAGTTAACACCGTCAAGCTTGGCCGATCGTTTAAACACTCGAGAGCTTTAATGCGCTCGTCTCTGACGTGAAGTGAGTTGGGAACCGGAAGAAGCTTAAAGTTCTAGTCCAGGTGGGTTTACTCTTTCGCAGACCCTTATACGTGGGCTGCTCCCAACGGGGGGACCTTCCCGTGACTATTTCAGTGTCAGACGAGTACCGACCACGTGGCTGTCTGAAAAAAACGAGACAAAGGGTAAAGCTCCAATTCCGGGTAAAAGCTCGCGCTCCTGGTACGTCGCCAGAAAATTGGTCTTCTCTGCGAGATTTTCTCGAAGATCGATGTACCCTTGCGCGATGTTATATTTTTAGGGTGGAACCTGACTAGAGACTCTCTTCTCTACGAATTTCAACCCCTTTTATATACCGACACAAATCCTGCCAATTTTTTTATTTCCATTTTCTCGTTCACGATCCCCTTTTTTCTTTCTTGCCGTATCTTAAGCCTGACCAACGGCAATGGTATTTTTGTCTGTGTTGCCAAAATGTGGCTTCTCTCCAAAACTGCCGTTATTTTCTGATCGTGCAAAAAAAATCCAGAGATATTACTCGGAAAGTATAGAAGCAAAGTCTCCTTTGAATTTTTTTACATCGAAACTTCTTGGACCCCCCTCAAGATATTTTTGGGTAGGTCTGACACTGTACCGGTACGTCTGATCATACCTGTACGCTTTCTACTTGGAACAGACACGGTGCCTGCCACATGGATTTTCAGCATCCCGGTTTATCTGGGCACAGCCTGGGTTCCAAGTATTATGTTCATCTTGAAAACTCGTAATAAGGTTCCTTTGACAAATAAAATGTGTACAAAAGTTATATTTGAAAATTAATATACATATTTAAATTTTAAAAATTATTTAATTACCACGCTCGCTCGTTTATCTTCGCATGACGAATATTTTCCTTAAATTTATTAATAATTCTGTCAATGATGACGTCGGCTGATTTTCTTACTCGCCCCACCCCTCACTTCGACTCAGACCCCCCCAAATCTTAATACCTGTGGGCGCTCTTCATCTCCGAAAAACACGAGGTCGTCTCAGATAACGAGACCTGAAATTCTCAAGAGAAATCTTGAATTCCGCGATTACTGCCCCTGGCATTATTACTTTTATACACAGAAATTATTAATTCACAAACAAAAACAATTCTAGGTAAGTCGAAATCGAGCCACGAAAATCTTTAGCTTTATTGTACCCTGAAGGGTATACAGTGGTGCCACCTACACTGATCCTATTGAAAATACCAACCCTCAAGTTTAATACCGTCTTTGTGGACTACGTTGAAGCGAGAATAATGGCTCCGTAATGAACGGAAAAGAAAAACAATTTACATAACGTTAATAAAGAGGAGTCTCAATAATTTCCACGCGACCAGCCTCTATAAAACCTCTGAAAAAATGTCCCGATCTGCGTGAAATATTTAATTGTCCTTGTCTAAGATTTTCGATAATTTTCTTAGCCCAGAAAAAAAGAAAAACGAGTCCGTACGGATGATCCGAAATTCTTACGGGATTTCTACGAACCTACCCCAGGACTCGTATTAAGTTTCAGCCCTTAGACTTGTATTTACTTTTTCGATCGATCCTACAAAATCAACGGTAGATACGTATACGCTATACGAATACGTAGGAAAGAGAAGACATTATTTTTTAAACCTACCTTCGACTCTTGGAACTACAAAGTCACTCCTTGACTTCAGTGTTTAACACTGAACCTACCGACAATTTTGTATATATCCATTTTTAGCTTTCAAAGGGTCAAATTGACCCTTTGAAAGTTGGACAGCGAGGAATCCTGTAATTTGGGTTATTTAAAAGCACTGCCAAAACAGCGTCCGAGTTAGTCGAGTTGTCCGGCGCTGTCAGAGGATCGAAAAGAATATCCGAGGACAAATATTAGTCACTTGGAAAAAACAAGGGGCGGGCATATACGTTTCCACTTGCCACACCCGATATGACGAGCTTTATTTACTCGGCCTACTGCAAATAGCTGCGAATACCCTTTTGAAACTTACCACTAAGCCGGACTCTGGTAGAATTATTTTTCATTCACGATTTTTATAAAGCGTACCACATTTTTTTTACCCAAATTTAATACAGACGTAAACTATATATCGTTTCGAAGAATATATTTTCTATAGGTTAGGTCAGGTTAGACGTGATATATTTTTTAAATTACTCTAAACCCATTGTTTTCATAAGGATCCTGTCTTGTTCCACTTTCCCTTATCTTACGTATGCAATATATGTATGTATATATATGTATAACAAGGATCCTAGTCTCGCAATTTTTTATTGAATTTAATGTTTGACGTTTAAATATAGAACGAGTGGGATGGCCCGTTATCGAACAGGGGCGACATCTTCTCAAAACCGAATGGTTGGATGTCAAGTAGGATGAAGGATGCTTCTAGAACAAACGTCAAATTCAAACTCCAGGAATATGATCAAAGCCGCCTAATGGAATATGGCACGAACCTAGTCCTCATTGAATATACTAAACGTCAAGTACGTTTAAGAGATTCAATTAGAGTTTGGCTTAAGCATCGATTATCAAAGAGTTATCCTGTGTTGATTCACGACAAGGAATATATAGAGAGTCATTTCTGACAACATGGCAAAGTTTATCGATCTTAATACAGGGTGGACCACGGAGCGTGATCAGTAGAGATTACTTTGTTATTAGCAGTCCGATCGAAAATGTTTTTATCAGCTTTTGCATGGTTTCAAGAGAGCTTTAACGTGATAGTGAAAAATTACTGGTCAACTCTTTTTTTTAAGGTTTTTTCAAGGTTACCTTGAACTTTTTGCAACTGAACATATAATTTTTTACGCCTGTCTGTTAGAAGATTTCAAGACGAATCCGGCACATGTAAGGACATGACATTTTTTCATCTGGTTCGAAAGAAAATTAAAAAACTAAATACTCCTTATCACAAGGAGAATCACAGCTACGCCGTTATACGCATCCATTCTGTCGTCTTCAGTCGCCATCAGTGTAGAGGAGAGGCCATAAAGAATGCAAAACAATCTTTCGTTCACCGTCTACGCGAGTGCATTGCACCTCGTGGACACCATTTTGAACATCGCCACAATTAAGATTCGTAAGTTTTGACTTGTCAACAACAT